ATTTGTCAGAGTGAGAAATGAACTGACTGCTGTGTTGTTCTGTGCAGAAAAGTTTCTGAAGAAAAACCTTTGAAAATTTGGTATTAAACTCAAAGGTAATACTGTAGAACTGATTGCTAAAGAGCTGGATTTCTCTCTCATCTTTAGTACAAAATTTAGATCTGACTAAATGTGGCAGCTCTTCTCGATGGTGTTCGCATTTAGCATCTTCTTTATGGCGCAGTATGAGGGCCAAAATTAAGACTATTGTGCAACCAGTAGTTGCTACATCCTTGTAGCAGGAGGCTATATCTCTTCCCAGCTATTGATCTGATTATTTATAGGCCGACACCGCTAACTGAGCAGCTGGCCCCGCTGAGAGGCCGGTGCTGGTAAATGAGAAGGAGACTATTCATTTGTGTTAGCATAAGAGAGGCTAGAGACTAGCATGGATAAGCTGGTGTTAGCGTCAGAGAGGCTAGTGACTAGCATAGATAAGCTGGCATTAGCATCAGAGAGGCTAGTGACTAGCATGGATAAGCTGGTGTTAGCATTGGAGAGGTTAGAGACTAGCATGGATAAGCTGGCATTAGCATCAGAGAGGCTAGTGACTAGCATGGATAAGCTGGTGTTAGCGTTGGAGAGGCTAATGACTAGCATGGATAAGCTGGTGTTAGCATTAGAGAGGCTAGAGACTAGCATGGATAAGCTGGCATTAGCATAGGAGAGGCTAGAGACTAGCATGGATAAGCTGGCATTAGCATCAGAGAGGCTAGTGACTAGCATGAATAAGCTGGTGTTAGCGTTGAGCTGGCGTTAGCATCAGAGAGGCTAGTGACCTGCATGGATAAGCTGGTGTTAGCATTGAAGAGGCTAGCGACTAGCATGGATAAGCTGGCGTTAGCATCAGAGAGGCTAGAGACTAGCATGGATAAGCTGGTGTAAGCATTAGAGAGGCTAGTGACTAGCATGCCTAAGCTGCTCACCTACTTTATTAGACACAAACTTTTTTGAATAAAGAAAACTTTCTCAACAAAAATGGTTGACATACAAAACCTATAAGCTCCATGCACTGACAGGTGTCCCTTAGACAGAATTTACTGTTCAACATGACATCAAGCATAACTATTAAACATAAAACGTATTACTGTGAAGCAGATGGCTTTAGTTACCACTAGAATAAGCAGCTGCGTTTGCTATTGTCTATTGATCGACAACAGGGTTTTTTTCTCTGTAGCCGAATTACGAGAAAAGCCAGAAATATCTAGTCTTAGTACAGTTTTTGACAGGGTCTAAATTAGGCTTCTTTATTATGAATTATATATGATTTATTTATAATGCCATATACAGATATTTCTCAAAATTCTATATTTCATAATTGCTTTTCATATTTATGGTCACTAGCCTCTCCAATGCTAACACCAGTTTATCCATGCTAGTCACCAGCTTATCAATGCTAGTTGTTAGCCTCACCAGTGCTAACACAAATGAATAGTCTCCTTCTCATTTACCAGCTCCGGCCTCTCAGTTAGCGGTGTCAGCCTATCATTAATCAGATTAATAGCTGGTTAGGAATAGATATAACCTCCTGCTACAAGGATGTAGCAACCGTTGATTGCATCATAGTCTTAATTGTGGCCCTCATATCTCGCCACACTTCTTTGTGTGATAGAGCTTTAAGCAGCATTTGTCGATATCCTGGTAAACAGAACCAGACCTGATCACAACCCTCTGATGTGGACTTTCAGCGTTGTTTCTAATTTCTACAGATTATTCTAATCTGTTGATGAGATTATGAGCTGTGGACGATTGTTGAGGATCATTGTTCTGAATTTGTTTTTTTTATTTTTAGACAGTTTTTCACAGACGGGAGAACCTCTGCCCATCTTTTCTTCTGTCCTCTTGCTGTTTCTTATTTTTATTTATTTTTACAATATTTTGTTGCATCAATCAAAACTTTTTTTCCGAGATACAAAATGTTGCTGTCGTATAATTTAATGATCTTACGTTAAAAAAAACTGTGAAAAAATATGGATTTATGAGGTTTGCATATGCTTGCATTCCGTTTTTATTGACATTTTACACAACTTTGTCCAGAAACAATAAGTTTGTTTAAAACTGATGCAGCATCAGCTGTTTTTTTTTTTTTTTATCATTTCTAGATCAAATTTAACTTAAAGAAGTGGTGCTAAAATATTTTTGTTCACGCTCAGAATGATTACAAACAGGTTATGTTCTTTGTGTTTGTGCAGAAATAGCATTGTCACGTCACAAATCATCAAAAAGTATTTAAATCATTCTGAGAATCTCAGCTCGGTTAATTTAAACAACATGGAGACTTTTCCATGGAGTACATTTTTTGTTTCTTTTTTTCTTGAAATCATTATTTCTGTCAGGTTCTCGTGTCGTCAAGCCTCCAATTTAACATCACTTTTGTATAATTTTCTAGATCCTTTAAAAAAAGCCACAGCCGCAGGATGAAAACAGCTACAGATCGGCACATGTTGGGCTGATGTGGAGCAAATATTTCAGCTGCATTAAATCATACAGTGGGTAAAATAAGTATTGAACACGTCACCATTTTTCTCAGTAAATATATTACTAGAGGTGCTAATGACATGAAATTTTCACCAGATGTCGGTAAC